ACAGATTCTCAACTTTCAACGTGAGTAGTCTTGGAAGAGGGGGGGGGGGTATTACTAGGAAATCCGCGTTATGGTGATGTTGATCATTAGAACAACTAGAGTTAATCTAGTTCAACTGGTGTTGGTTAACATTTGTTGTGTCCAATTGTCCCGTTCGCAACGCGGTCGTTGTATCGTGAAGGTGCATGTGACCTGAGTGTAGCGGCTGTGTCGTTATTTGCCTTTGGAGGCTATTATTGTTGACGGAATTATGGTATCAATGTAGGGATAGTCGGGACCTTGCCGCAGCATTTGGCTAGAAGTGACGAGCAGCGTGTTAAGGATATATGCAAGGATGACAACCCTCATGAGGATGCTCTTGATGTGCTCACTAGGATGCACGATGAGGTGGGTCTTACGATTTGGAGAAGGAGTGGTATGGATTAGGGTGATCAGGACGGCAAGCGCAACGATGCTGGTAACAGGAACTAACTTTCCATCACAAGTAGAGGAGGCGATACTGAGAAAACTGTTATTCCTACTGAACTGTTGTACGCTTACGAATATCTAGTAGTGGCGATGGGAACGAGTTTTGTTTTTTTCAATGGTGGGAAGTAGAAGTTGTTGAGCCTCGTTATGTTAACTGGATATGCATCTCCTTCTCCTCGAGGGATGATGACCTCTACTAGATCTACAGCGATGATGCCGCTCGACCGTACCAATCAATTTTATGAGCTGATAAGGGAAATGGATGGTAGCAATAGTACAGGAGGAGGCCGTTCTCTACCCGCGGAGTTAGTCCATCACATGTCTACGGGATTTCCAGGTCAAATTTATCGAGAGCGTGGTTGTCGCGTGCGTTCGTAGTTGACCTCCTAAACTTTCAAATATATCGGGTATAACATTGTTTTTTTGGTGTTCTATTGAAGCCATGGGTGAAATGTTAACGAAAAAATAGAATTGTCGTTAAGAAATTAATTTGACTTGGAAATGCCATAGTTCATTGTTAATCTCTCTATTTGACTATTACTAAGCACTTGGGGACCGTGAGTCGAGGTTCTACTCGAGTACTTGGTGATAGTGAGCAATGAGATTGATGGTGTCACCCCTCGAGTTTAGATACAGGAAGAGCTGCTGAGGCGGTAGCTGTTGCTGAACAACATGAGGGCGGAGGTACTAGTAGTAGTAGTAGTGATATGGGTGGTACTTCCGTCGGCCGTCAGCGGACGTACTCAATGTCATAGCAATGGATGGTGGAATACGTGGATGCTTATTGCTTACTAAGCAAGGCGAGTGAGATTCTAGGTCTTGGAAATATAGGGATTAAATTGTGGTGGTATTGACCGGGATCGAAAAGAACGCAATGATTGATCTCCTACTTCATATTGCTGACTGCTATGAGTTCTCTCTATTGCGTTTGGCCATCACTGGCAAGTTCAGGTTCATCAGGAGCTAGGTCGTCATCAACGGCAGCAGTAGCACAGTTCAATAAATACGCTAATGAGATTGGAGTAGATCTGCACCAGACGCAGATGAAAATACAAGAGCTCGGAAAACGTAATAATGTTGCATCGCTCCGCTAGGTGGGAGATGATTAGTTGTGTAGTCGCACGAGCAAAGGGCATCTTCAACGATCAATCGGCACGGATAAATGACTTTACGGGGGATATCAAGAGAGTAAGTGGCGGAGGAACGGTAGGGATACAATTTTTGATGTTATTCATTGTGATTGTTATTCGGTCAGTCGTTTCAACTTACGAGATAATATAGGATTATATCAGTTGTTGTTAGCGAATTTCCGTACGTTCATTCGTGGTTTGTATAATTCTCTGAAAAAAATTTCTAGGTAAATTTTTTTCATTCTTTTTTCTTAGGATTTGGACGGATTAAGTCAGAAGATTGACTTACTACAGCAACACGCAAAACAGTCTGCGGAAAGTATTAGAACTGGATGTGGCTGGAATTAGTTCCCTGTTGTTAGGTCGGCAAGCTACAGCGCATACAAGTGGTATTGTGAAGACGCTTCAAACGAGGTAGTAGGCAGTGTTGGCTTTTACCAGAACTGTTATCGTGAAATGTAGACTGATGGGTATCACCAAGGATTTTAAAGACGTATTGGAGTTGCGGACTAAAACGTTGCAGCAACAGGACAGGCGGTAGTAATGTTATTAACATGAAGAGGGATATATTGTTGTCAATATTAGGCGAAATATGTACGCATTCTCGTCGCCATCAAATCCATTCCAGCAAAGAGGAGGTCAGTACTGTTGGCCTTTTGGGTGTCGAACTGATATGAATGTGTTGTTGACGGTTTTCGATTCGGTTCGGGTAGTGGATTTTTCCATAGGTATGGAAATGACTGAGGCGTCGTCTTTCTCTGGAGGCCCTCCAAGCGGGTTTGACATCGAGGGAGGTCGGGACGAGCAGCAGGAACAGATGTTGCAGGGCCCTGGGTATCTGAATGCTAGGGCTAATGCTGTGCAAGCTGTGCAGAGAACTATAGGTAATATATGCAAAAAGTAGGAGGATGAAATTATATTGTATTTTCGTGGAGGTAATTTGAACGATCTGTTCTCACTCGGAAAAAAGTGTTCATCTTGGCGTCCAAGAACTCACATATTGTTATTGAGGTTGTCAACCTTCGTCTTTCTTCGGATTAGTATTAAAATGTATTTTTTGGTTCAAATTTTTTGTTACTCATTATAGAAACTCATAGTATAGGAAGATTGAGTTTTTGGAGGAATGAATCAATGTAGAAATTTTTGGGAAAATTTCGAAGAGTCCACTATAATTCTTTGATTGTCATTTACACGCATAGTTGACCATGTGCATATTTTTTCCCTCAGGCGAGCTCGGTCAAATGTTCGAGAAGGTGTCGTCCATGGTGTACGAACAGGATGAGATGATAATGCGAATAGACTCCGATGTGGATGATACTATGGGACATCTCAATGAGGGACAAAACCAGCTGTTGAAGTAATGCTGTGGTGATGGGCTTGGGGTTACTTCAGTGTCTTTGTAGGTACTTCCATAGTATATCGGGGAATCGTTCGTTGATACTGAAGATTTTCGCGATACTTGTATGTTTTGTGATATTTTTTGTCCTATTCTTGGCGTAATATGGCTACAGCAGATGAACACATCTACTATGAGGGAGAGCGAGCTGTGTCTTGTCTTTCATTCATTATCGTTGAGTTTTATAGTGGGCGAGCATGGGAGATGTGTCTCGCCAGTGAGATGGATTGAGATCCGTTGGAGGTCTGGAAGTAGAACTGAAGTTCAGCTCAGCTGCGTTATGGTGTGTCGCACAAGTTCAGTGGTGTGGCGTCCTACTGGGGTGCAATTTTACCTGTAGCCGTATAACGATCGGTTATATTAGCATTCATTGTGGTACTGTCGAGTTAAACGTGGAGGGGGGGATAGCAAGCAGGGTCGAGTGGAGAGCTTGTAGTATCATTATGCATTAGTAGTGTTCATGGAAGTCAACGATCTGTGATCGTAGCAACATCCTTGGTTTTGCCAAAACTTTTGATAAGGGTGGTCCTCAATTGTCTCAACAGAGACGTAAGAATGGATTCAGTGCTATTGATGACAGAAGAATGAAGTGCTTCTTCAGCCTTTCCCTGCTCTCGAGCATGTCCACATTGAGCTCGATAACATTGAAACTGTGTGATCGGTTGGCAGCCCTCAGAGGGGCGGTCACTTCGTGGGAGGTTTATGTGAAGCTAGTCTACATCAAGTACTGGGTCGTTATCAAACTTGATCTACTGCGAATCCAATTCGAGCGGAAGATTCTCTTGAGGCCATCTACTGAGCCTGTGGTGAAGGCTCTCCGATCCTGCGGGATGAGGCCGGCAGCCGATGACTCCGCCCTCTCTGGCGGCTATGTTGGAGCCGTGAGGAAAGTGAAAATTGAGGCTAGCCAGAGTGATGGGCATCCCGACAGTGTTGTGGTGAAGAGCATTCCGGAGACTTTCGGAGCCCGCATGTTCGCTGGTATGTTCGGCAGTGCTCAGCGCGAGGCCCGGTTCTACGTCGAGATAGCGTCAAGTCTACCGGTTCCCATTCCCAAGGTTTATCTGAGTAAATGGAGTAGGGCCAGAGGAAGCGAGTTGATTATTATGCAGAACGTCGGCGATGGTTTGTTGGCTGAGGAGCTGAAGAAATGCAAAGATCCACAGAAATTGGTTGAGGAATCATTTAAGGTCGCTGCCAGATTCCACGCTAAATACTGGGGAGCAACGCCGTCTACTCTCACACAGACTCTCTTAGCCAATACTCTTGGCTGAGAACTGGGACTACGTACAA